TTTTTAAATCCTTTAAAATAATACAATTATATTTATATATATCCTTAATCATCTTGAATTCCAACGAATATTTTACTAATCCAAAAATTTAAAAACATAAGCTTCAAAAGCACTCCTTTTTCCCAACTCTCCATCTTACATTTCTTCCCAATTTTTCATTCTTTTTCACATCATTGATACAAAATCAGTCAAAGTCAATGAGCCTTCAGCCTTTTACGTCTTGTGCCTTTTATGTTTCATAACGTGTCTGAAGTTTTTGCAAGTAGTAAGCCTGTAAGCTTTTTCCAAAAACCCAAGCAGCAACATCTTCAGCTGGTTTTCTCCAATGCAGGACCCATAGATTAATTCCATATAAACGCTTTTCCCCCAAAATTTCACCAGGGAAGTACACCAAAACCATAACCAAGTCTATTACCACTTCCTTTCCCAGCTTCTCAGACTTATCAATTTCCAAATCTCCACAATTTTGCTCATTTTGAAGTATTTCCATAACATCTTCTTCAACCTTTGCTATAAACCTCTGGAGAATAAATGCCACCATTTCTTCCAATTTCTTCATCCAAATATCTTTAATTTCCTCATTATATTGCTTCACTACTTGCATCACAGCATCTTGTACATCATTTATAATCAAAGAGAAAGGCATTTTCAATAAATCCCAAGCAATAACCAAAAAGAAAAAACAAAAAAAAATTACTTTCTCACATTTTCTTTCTTTTTTCCCTCAGTTCTGGAGCCATTTTAAAACCATTCTTCAAATTTCTTTAAGTATCATCAAAAAGAGTAACAATATTAATATCACCAATCAGTAAGCATCATAAATTCATTGTGGTTAAAACTTTCCAGAACCGGAGAAGCAACAATGTATCTTTATCCTGTTAATAGCCAGACGAGAGTAAAAGTGAAAAGCGAAAGTAATCCAGAGAAACGGCAGATCCGCAGCCATTTTCTCTCACTTTAAATCCTCAGTAAATAAAGAAGATGTTGATAATTTTCAAAGTTAAAGTCCCAATAAATCCATTACAATTCCANGACTACTTGCATCACAGCATCTTGTACATCATTTATAATCAAAGAGAAAGGCATTTTCAATAAATCCCAAGCATCTTCATCATATTTTACTAATATACAAATAACAATAATATCAATTAATAAATCAATAATATCAATTCATTAATCAATATCCTGTTTTTCGTGCTCTTGTTAAGGTTTGATTTCCCATCAGTATTCGAAATCTTTATCAGTTATGATTTTCTCAATATTAATTACATGTAGCTAAAAGTGTTATTCATATCAATCCTCCTCTTATCTTCATATTACCCATATCAAAAGAAAAAGAAAAAAAATGCTATCTTAGTTCTAAATCATATCTTTCATTATAAAAGTCTAATTATATATAAGGGTCATCCGTTCTTTTCATCTTATTCAAACAAGTATTTAAACATATACTGCCCCCTCTAAAAGGTCAAATCTTCTGCTTTTTAAATCTGACTCTTGCTTTCTTCTTTGCAAAGTAGCTTTCCAAGCCAGGGCAATTAGATCGCCCAGGAATTTTTTTTCTATTTTTGTAAAAAATTGCTTGGCATAAAGAAGACAATTTAAGTAGGGTATTTTGGGGGAGAATTCCACCCATTTATATTCTTTAAACAACTCCCAGTTCCTTTCTCCCTCCATTTCTCTTTTCATTCCCTGTCCCCCAAGTTGTGACATTTCCCCTAACAGCTGTGTATATTCCATTTTTTAAAATCTTCTTCCTTGCCATCAGATATATTTTGCAGACCTAAGGGGTAAAAGGTCTTTTGCATTTTCATTGTTATAGCTTAGTCTTGCAGTATTTTGTTTGTATATAGTCGTTTATATTTTCCTTCTTTTATCTCTTCCATCTCTAAATCCGTTTCCTCTGTTTCATCTTCTGATTTCTGGTTTATTTGTTCATACTTTGTAGTCGTTATCTAGGAACTTTCTAGTTATAGATTTAATTTGGAGATTTGCTCGTTTATATTGTCTAAATTGTTTTTAGTCTCATTATGATTTCTTTTTATGTCCTCTTTGCATCCAACAATTGTTTGGTGAATTAGTTGTAGCATAGAATATATTTCTTTCTGAAAGGTGTTTATTTTTTCTTGAGGCATCATTCCTGGAGATCTTCTAGTACAGGGATGTCAAACTGCCAGCCTGCAGGCCTGACGTGTCACCAGGAAATTGTGCCCACCCCATTTCCGGCAATGAGGGAAAAGCTCTGATATGTCTGCTCAGTAAGAGTAGATCAAAGTTTCCTCTAGTTTTCTGGTCTTTATCCTTTATAATCCAATAGATTCCAAAGTATAGATTCAGTCCTGAAAGCAATATTTTATAATGATCCTTTGTCTCAAGTATCCAAAAATTGTCAATCAGGCAAAGTTGTAATTCACAATGTTTTCAAAGTGTTCAAAATGCTCAATCTCTCTGAAAACAGCCCAAAAGTCTCTTCCAGCCAGGCGTAGTCCAAGGTCAATTTTTTCTTTCTCTCCCACTGGCTCTTGAAGTTAAAAGTCCAAGCTCAGTAAGTATTTATAATCCAAGAAGGTCAGGATGATAAGTATGCCAAAATATTTTCCTTTATTGCCAGTTGTTGGCCCAAGCTAGGAATCACCAAGCAGCCAGGAAGCAAATTATAGTGCTATGCACAAATCCACCACTAAATATCATTCCAAATCCATTTTCCACTCTTAAAACCAAGGATTGATTTCTTATATTTTGCCTCAAATTTTTTTTCAAAGAGAAAATCTTAACAATTATCTCAGTCCTCAAATTTATCCAAACTGTAGCTTATGTTACTTCCACTTCAGTATTGTATGTTTCTGTCCCCCATAAAATTAAAACACCGCTTCCGTTTACATTCGGAGGTTTTTAGCTTCTTGGGAGCCTTTCCCAGGAAATTCAGTTGTAAAATAGTAAAGAAAGGATCAATATTCTCACCCAGTTCCAAACATGCTGTTTACAATGTATTAATTGGTGCATGATAATGTAGTTTTTCCCATTTAGTTTTGGGTGTTTGGTAGATCATCTTGGTTCAAATTTCTGTGGAAAAATTATTTTTGTTAATTTTGTATTATGTGTTTTGAGATATTATTAAAAAGTCTAACTCAGGAAAATATTTTTCTGTTCAGGGTTATCCACCTGCATGTAGCACTTCTAATAAAACAGTCTTCTATGTTTATGTTATAGGCTGCTTGTGGTGGTTGTCATATGCTGGTTTTTGCCACCCCAAAGCCTAAGAAATCTGATAATATTCATGAGCTAGAAGAAAATGAGCATAATTTTTCTGTTAAAGTGTCCGAAATGGGTGGAGATGCAGACACCTTTCAGCAAACGTTTTCAGCACGTGTGCGACGGAGAGAGAAGGTACACAATAACTGTTCCAAGCAGGCTATTAAAAATTGTGCGTGAAAAAGATTTAAAAATTTAAAAGAATTATTTAAAAGTCTTTTTAAGTTTTGGAACTTTTTATTGAAACGTTTTATCTTCATGATGAATTTTTATTGTAATTCTTGAAATCAGAGGGAAGAATAGGTCTGTAATACTTTTAAGGAATGAATATAAAATGAGATCGGAAACCCTAATTGAAATTAATGGAAGGAAGGGAGATATTTATTTGTTTATTAAATTTATATGCCACCCATCTCCCTGATAGGGCAATCCTGGGCAGTATAAAAGTAAATCAATGACAGCACATAAAAAATAATTTTATTTTTTGTCTTTCTCTAAATAAATAAAAGGTTACATTATTTCTAATTTATAAGTTTGAATTTGTACTCCAGGGTACTGTGAACTTGTTAAACCTTGAAATTAAGGTTTTAATTATATTAAATCTTAAATATGTAAATTAACTCTGGCTCAGATAATTTAAACATTTCAACCAAAGTTCTAAGGGAATTAAACAGTTTTGATTCACAGAGCCTGTTCCAAAATCTGAAATGCGGTTAGTATCATTAATTTAATATATTTTGTATGTTATTCTTTAAGAATTTAATATAAATGCTGATTTGCTTTCTTCGAATTCTTTCAGAAGGAAAAATCACCAGAACAATGTGGTCGATTGGTGCGAACGCTTCCTCCATTGGGAAAAACATCCCTAAAACCTGCATCAGGTGTCATCAGCAGTACTCTTCCACTTGGCAGAACTGATAGAAATAAAGAATCTGAATCCATTATGGATCATGAAACAGGTAAGCTATGTTTTGTTTACAAGTAGTCCTTGACTTACAACCATTCGTTCAAAATTACAATGGCCCTGAAAAAAGTGACTTCTGACTGTTTTTCACACTTATGACCATTGCAACACCTCCATGGTCACATGATTAAACTTAGGACACTTGGCAACTGGCATTTACTTATGTCAGTTGCAGTGTCCCATGATCATGTGATCACCTTTTACGACCCTCAGACAAGCAAACACAACGAAGAAGCCAGATTCACTTAACAACCGTATTACTAATTTAACTACTGCAGTGATTTAACAACTCTGGCAAGAAAAGTTGTAAAATGAGGCAAAACTCACTTAACAACTGTCTTGCTTAGCAATGGAAATTTTGGGCTCAATTGTGGTTGTACAGGGATTATTTTGTAAGGAGTTTTATTAGAATACAAAATTCTGGACAGAACACAATCTTGAAGTGAGATATTGGTGGGGCAATCTCTACCAAAGCATCACTAGGTCAGGAAGAATGAGCACTTCCAGTCCCTTTTCTTAAATATTGACATCTGGTGTGACCTTGGAGGCATTCCTTCTCCAGAGCTTCCCCTGGCCCTTTGATCTGGAGGGCCCCTATTCTTATAGCCTTCTGGAAGACCAGGGAGAGATGATTCCTTCTCCATGCATTGGGTTAAGATGGGAGTGAGTCTAGCAAATGTGGCTATCGAGAGAATATTGCATCTCAGGGATTTACTGTATGTTGTTTGCGTGATGGTTGTAATTTGAACTACCACATCAAGTTCTATGAAAGAAAGTTTCATTGTATTTTATTGTCTCTCTTCATTTGCATATTGAGACAAAAAAAGTTTCTTCCGTTGTATTAACTATTAACAGGACAAACTCTTTTTCTCCCTAAAGAGTCAAAGTGTATTATATATTTTGTTTTAAAGGAGATAAGAAAGAGGAGAACAGTGATACAGAGGACAGCTCAACAGATAATGATTCAGATGATAATGAAGAAAGAACCCTTGGTGATACCACAGATATCCTAAATATGGTAATGTATTTACTAGTGAATGGTTGAAGAGGTCTGCGGGAGAACCTGGAGATACACAAAATAGGAAAATGTGTTTGATTTGTAACAGAACCATTGTGTGCCAGATTTCTGTCTAGCTGTACTGAGTCAACTACTGTTCAACAGAAAAAAAAACTGGAATGCTTTGACTGTTCCTAATATTAAATAACACAAAACACAACCAAGGTAATTTAAAATTAAATTTAAAATTAATTAAATTTTAATTTAAATAAATAAAAAAATAAGGATCTGGCACGTATGACACTGATAGATAGTCTTACTGACTGAAAATAGAAGGCATTGTAATGTTTAGGTGTGCCAACTTTTCCAGGAAAAAAGTATTAAGCTGGAATGGAAAAATAATCAAAAATGGGGTTTCTGTAGGGAATCAGGCAAGGAATAGTTTTCCCTCTTGATTCAAGGGATTTTGTGACTGATTGTGACTGATAATTATAGTTACAAAATTCTAGGTCTCTGACCTAGATTGAAAGTAATGTTTATTTTATACTAGGAAAAATATTTTTAAAAAGAGATGTGAAAAGTTGCTGTTTAAAATTCTGAATTTTCTTAGATAACATTTTATTACAAGATGTATTTTAGGAACTGAGTAAATTTAATATTTAGAATTAGGAAAGCAATGGGTGATACCTTTCAAAATTACAGAAAAATTAGGCCTTGTTTAGAAGCATAGACTGTTCATATTCTCTAGTTTTAATAATAATAATTTATTAAATTTATATGCTGATCTACTCTACAGACTTGGGGGGGGCGTTTAGAGGAATTGTAGATATGTTAGTTTACATAATCAGTAAAAAAATTATCCTGGTTTCCGATCAGGATATTTTGTGGATGTAATATTCAGTCAAAATATCCATGATGACTGAGCTAAAACAAACATAGTCTGGCATTTAATAGAACTTTTTACTGCATTTCTCTAATTCTGTTTATTTTCTGGTTGTTCAGAAACTGATCTGAGATGTTCCAGTAAAAAAAGCATTTTTCATGTATGTAAACCTTAATTGCTTGCTTTTATTACTACTCGGATAAAAATGTTTTTCAGACCCATGTGATGAGACTAAATCCCAATGACCAACTGGCAGAATTAGCACCAGTTCAAAAACAAAAGGTATAGTTGGATTGTTTATATATTTCATGTTGTTTACTTTTCATGTTGTTTACTTTTCCAGTAGATGAAACCCAGGGAACCACTAGCCTGCAGGTTGAATGCACTCTCAAAGGTTTTAACAACTTACCCATGGCATTTCAGGTGCAATCCATCATTCTCATGATCCCTCTTTTCATCTTGCCTTGTATCTTCAGACTTGGCCCTTTTATGACTTGTGGACCAACTCCCAGAATTCCTCAGCCAGCATGCCTGGCTGAGGAATTCTGGGAGTTGAAGTCCACAAGTCATAAAAGGGCCAAGTTTGAAGACCCCTGCCTTATATAATCTTTCCCATCTTTTATCAAGCGTTCAAGAGAAAGTTGGAGAGTAATGGTTTCCTCATCTTCTTTGACAAACAAGAGAACCAATCCATTCTTCCCTGTGTGCAAAAAAGGCTTTAAGTGACCATCTTTTTCCTCCCTATATGTGTAGGCAATCTTTTTCTCAATCTGATGCATTTATAGGAGATAGGATTTCAGCAGAGGGAGCCTAAAAGTTCTGTACTTTAATTCTACATGTTTGAAATGAATAATTGTTGTACAAAACAAAAGATGCGCAATTTTGAGTGGCCTCGGGATATTTTTTCTGCATTAAAACCTTCAGATTATGTAGACCTTTATTTTCAAAAAGCAGTTTGAACCATGCACCTTAATCAATTCGAACAATAAATATATGATAGTATATTTTTAATTTTTTTTCTGCTTACCAGATATTACAATAACAATTTAAGATTATATTAATGCCTTACCTTGGCAATAATGTGAGAAAACAAATATTACAATATTTCTTTGCATTGTTTTATCTGCTGAAAATTACTGTCTTGTTTATCTCAGCCAAGAGATTAACACAAGTCAGTTGCTAGAAGAAGTGGAATGCAATTTGCATAATTTACAGGGGGGGGAAATCTCAAATCAGAGAACCCTGATATGTCACTGAAAGGATTAAGAACATGCAGTGTCTTCAGTTAATACTGATAAAATTTTAAACTGCCCAGGGCTCAAAGTATTGTTTTACTTAGTTTCATAATGGAAAATACCTTTTTACAGGGGCAGAGGATGGGGAGGAGAGTAGGTACACACTAATAACTTTTTTATGAATCCTAAATCCTAGATCAGTGTCCATAATCTAATTATCTTGCAAACATGGAATTCTTCCACTATTAGAAGTCACCTGTGTTGTATTAAAAGAAATATTGCCGAACAGTAATATTTGCATGCCAACTTCTTTAGGTACAATAAAAGTAAGTTCTTTTGTGAAGAAACTGTATATATGCATGCTAGAACAATATAACTGACAAATAAGACAAGTACCGTATTTTTCGCTCTATAAGACGCACTTTTTCTCCCCCAAAAGGTGGGGGAAAATGTCTGTGCGTCTTATGGAGCGAATGCTGCCTGGAGCTGAAGCCTGAGTGCAGGGGAGGAGAGCATATACTGGCAGGGAAGCCTTACGTCACTAGGTGGCGCTCTAACACAACACCATTGAGTATTGCTAGAAAGGAAGTCGCGGAGAGGAGAAGGGCTGAGGAACTTCCTTTTCCTTCTCACCCATAGGAGGATGGAGGAGTGTTCTTCCCAGGCTCGAAACAGCAAATGGAAGGTGAGTGGAAGGCAGGTTGGGGGAGAAGCCTGGAGGAAGCGAAGAGACAAGGCTGGAACATGTTGGCTGCTGCAGCATATTCTTTCTCTTTCCAAATGTTATTATCCTTATGCTGCATGATTTAAAACTGCTACCTGTAATTTTCTGCTGGGAGATGGGAGAGACTAAAATGTCAAGGCCTGGAGACTAAAACATACGAAGAACGGTTGCAGGAAATGGGTATGGCCAGTCAAGAGAAAAGGAT